TCATTTACGAAAAATTATGTTTATATGCATGCTGAAGCATATTGGGAGATCTAGAAGGATGGCCACCAAAATGTTAATAATGTTTTTTTGAGGGGAGAGGTTTTTCTTTTTAAACTTCCTTCTATATTTGCTGTATTGTTTAATTTTTTTACAACATATTACCTTCATGACAACAACAACAACAAAAAAAAACAAATATTTTAATAGTTAGGATTTTTAAATGCTCCAAGTGACTATCAATACGGAAGAAATAATAGTGACATATTGCTCATAAAAGACAGAAAGCACATTGCAAAACAATCTAATTCCATTGTTGCAAAAAAAAATCATATATTTTATTATATGCAAAATCTGGACAGGCCAGGCGCAGTGGCTCACACCTGTAATCCCATCACTTTGGGAGGCCAAGGCGGAAGGATCATTTGAGCCCAGGAGATCGAGACCACCCTGGGCAACACAGCAAGACCCCTATCTCTACAAAAAATACAAAAAATTAGCTGGACTTGGTGGCACATGCCTGTAGTCTCAGCTACTCAGGAGGCTAAGGTGGGAGGATCGCTTGAGCTCAGGAGGTCGAGGCTTCAGTGAGCTATGATTGTGCCACTAAACTCCAGCCTGGGTGACAGATCAAAACCCTGTCTCAAAAACAAAAAACAGAAACAAGACAAGAAAACAACGAAGTGGGGAAGGTTTTTCTAGCTATGACTCAAAATCCAGAAGCCAAAAGAGAAAATACAGATACATTTTATTACATAAAAATTATTTAAGGCCAGGCGTGGTGGCTCACGTCTGTAATCCCAGCACTCTGGGAGGCTGAAGTGGGTGGATCATGAGATCAGGAGATCAAGACCCTCCTGGTTAACACGGTGAAACCCTGTCTCTACTAAAAACACAAAAAATTAGCTGGGCATGGTGGCGGGTGCCTGTAGTCCCAGCTACTTGGGAGGCTGAGGCAGGAGAAAGGTGTGAACCCGGGAGGCAGAGCTTGCAGTGAGCTGGTATCGTACCATTGCACTCCAGCCTGGGCAACTGAGCAAGACTCCATCTTAGAAAAAAACAAACAAAAAAAATTGTTTAAAAAGACACTTCTACCTGGCCAAAAGAAGGCCATATGTAATGTTAAAAAACAAATGTCAGATTAGGAAAACTATTTGCATATAATACTTTTATCTATGTATAACAGACAAGAGCTGATTTTCCTATTACGTAAAATGCTTCTAGAAATTGATAAGGAAAAGTCGAACCCAATATAAAAATGGGCAAATGGCGGAGCGTGGTAGCTCATACCTGTAATCTCAGCGCTTTGGTAGGCCAAAGCGGGAGGAAGATTTGAGCTCAGGTATTCGAGACCAGCCTGAGTGACATAGCAAGATCTTGACTCTACTAAAAATCAAAAACATTAGCTGAGTGTGGTGCCACGCACCTGGTAGTTTCAGTTGCTTGGCAGGCTGAGGTGAGAGGATCACGTGAGCCCAGGAGTTTGAGGCTTCAGTAAGCTATCATGGTGTCACTGCACTCCAGCTTGTGTGACAGAGTGAGACCCTGTATCAGAAATAAATAAATAGAGCCGTGCGTGGTGGCTTATGCCTGTAATCCCAGCACTTTGGGAGGCTGAGACAGGAGGATCACCTGAGGTCAGGAGTTCAAGACCAGCCTGGCCAACATAGTGAAACCCTGTCTCTACTAAAAATACAAAAATTAGCCAGGCGCAGTGGAGCATGCCTGTAATCCCAGCTACTCGGGAGGCTGAGTCAGGAGAATGTCTTGAACCCATGAGGTGGAGGTTGAAGTGAGCAGAGATCATACCACTGCACTCCAGTCTGGGTGACAGAGCAAGACTCCGTCTCAAAAAATAAAAATAAATAAATGGTGAACTCACACATGTGAGAAATAATATAAGCATAGCGACATTGTTTGTAAGAGCAAATAAATAGAACCAGCACAAATGTCTATGAATAGGGGACTAGTTAAATAAACTGTAGCTTATCTCTACAACATTAGAATATGCAGATGACAAAGTGGAAGCTCTCCTCTTATTGACATGGAAAGCTCTCCAAGATGTATTTTCAAGTGAAAAAGCAAAATGCAGAATAGTATGTAGAGTATACAACTTTTTGTATCAACTGGGGCACTTTTGTATCAACTGGCACATCCACGCCCAGCTAATGTTTTTATTTTTGTAGAGACGTGGTTTCAGCATGTTGCCCAGGCTGGTCTCAAACACCTGGGCTCAAGCAATCCTCCCTCCTCCCGTCTCAACCTCCCAAAGGGCTGGGATCACAGGAGGAAGCCACCAAGCCCGGTCTCTACTCCAATGTCATGAAGGAATCTACCCGTTTCTTCCAGTCCTTTTATAGATTCATTTTTCAAATTGAAATCTCCAGTCCATTTGCATTGATAATGGGGTACAGTGGGAAATATAAATCCAATTTCATTTTTTTTCCAGGTGGTCACCCATTTTTCTTAACATAATTTTTTAATATATATGTTTATTTTAAATATGAAATAGAGACTCTGGAGTCACAGAAGGCTGGGTTCTTATTTATTTGGCTATTTGGTTATTTATTTGGCTGTGTTATTTACTTACCCTCTCAGAACCTCAGAGAAAAGACAAAGGACAAGATTTGGGGGAGCCGGGTGCAGTGGCTCATGCCTTAATCCCAGCACTTTGGGAGGCTGAAGCAGGAGGATCACTTGAGCCCAGGAGTTTGAGACCAGCCAGAGCAACATAAGGAGACCCCATCTCTACAAAATTAAACATTAAAAATCCTAACCCAGCATGGTGGCATGAGCCTGTGGTCCCAGCTACTCAGGAGGCTGAGATGGGAGGATTACTTGGGCCTGGGAGCCGTGATTGTGACACTGCACTCCAGCACTCCAGCCTGGGTGACAGAGGGAGACTCTGTCTAAAAAACAAAAAAACAAAAAAACAAAAAAGATTTGGGGAGGCAAAAGAAGCTACTGAGCTACTGAAGGAAATCATTTAGGAGAGATAACTGAGGCCCAGTAGTGGAGGACCTGATAGCACAGAAAGGATCTTGGGCCAGCTTGTCTGCCCCTTCACTATACTGTTGGTGAAACTGAGGTCCAGTCAGATAGATGGATTTGACCTGCAGGGTGTGTGGACCCTAAGACCAGGCTCTTACCCACACTGGTTCCAGGCAGGCACTGAGGGAAGACAAGCCTGACCCTACTACACAACTGAAGAAATTGAGGCCAAAGCAGAAGTGATACCTCCCCCAGGCACTCCAGATAGAAGCTGTGGTTTCCACCCCCTTTCCCAGGAGCAAACCACGGTCTTCACTTCTGCTTGCAACCTCCAAATTCCCCTCCACATCCCTTCACCATCATCTCACACGCTGAGTCATTTCGTTTTCCACCCTGCAATTCATTATTTGGGGCCTTCTAGGAAATAGCAATCCCTTCCTTACCTGACTTCCAGAATGGTTCCAGTTGATGGTGGGGAAACTGAATACTGCACAGAGGAGCCTGCTTGAGTTCTACAGCAGGCCAGTGGGCAAGCTGGGACTCAAACCCAGGCCTCCAGGGTCCAGGGCGCTACCCCTGCACACTGCAGCCTCCCAAAGATGGTTGGGCAGCTGAGTTGCTGTGTAGACAAGTAACACTCTATTTAGGCCAATAGACAAATGACGAGCTGTGGAGCACAGGACAGAGCCTTTGGAAGATGAGAATCTGATAACCAGTGCCAGTATTCAGTGCCTAGGCTGTGTGACACCGGACAAGGCACTTGACCTCTCTGTGTCTCAGGTTTTCTCATCCGTAAAATGAGGCCAAGGAAACCTATTTCCCAGAAAGAGAAACTCCAACAACAATTTCCCTGATCCTCTACTGGAATCAGGCTCTGAGCCAGGTCCAGGGCTCTGGCCAAAGTCCTTGGTCAGGAACACATCTGAGCACAAGGTTTGGGAAACCCTGCCTTCCTCCCTGCAGCTGACCACGCACCCCAGAAGCCCACCTCTCCCCAGCAGCATGAGGGCCTACTGAGCCAGCCATTCTCCACACACAGCCCCACCTGCCCCTGCCAACCACAGTCTGGAGCCCCTGCCTCTGGCCTGGGTGAGGAATCAACCAACCTGTGGTCTCTGCAAAAAAAAAAAGCCCTAAGAGGCCAGGTGCAGTGGCTCACACCTGTAATCCCAGCACTTTGGGAGGCCAAAGCAGATGGATCACCTGAGATCAGGAGTTCGAGACCAGCCTGACCAACATGGTGAAATCCCACCTCTACTAAAATTATGAAAATTAGCCAGGCATTGCGGCTGGCGCCTGTAATCCCAGCTACTCAGGAGGCTAAGGCAGGAGAATCGCTTGAACCTGGGAAGTGGAGGTTGCAGTGAGCTGAGATCACGCCATTGCACTTCAGTCTGGGCAACAGAACAAGATTCTAAAAATAAAAAAAAAAAGCCCTAAGAGATGCTATTAGTGACCCCATTTCACAGGTTGGGAAAGAAAGGCCCCCCCGGAGCCCAACAGGAAGTCTGTGACCAAGCCAGCAGCAGGGCCATTTCCCTGAGACATGCTGTCCCCAGGATCCAATCTAGGTCGCTCTGAAAGGAGCTGCACCTGCTCCAGTCTGCCAAGCACAAAGTATGTGCCAGGCCCTCTACTGAGCCCCTGACAACCATCCACGGTGCAGGTTCCCAGACTCACCCCATTTTATAGATGAGAAACTGAGGTCCAGAAAAGAAACTACCCTTCACTTGTCCCAGACCTCGTGGGGAAGCTAAGATTCAAGCCCCATGCCTAACCACTTCTTAATTTAAATCGCCCCTCCTTCCAAAAGCATAGTTCTCTACATTCCCCCAGATGTGGAGCTGCCAACCAGAAAGGGAAGGAGGGTGGGTCCCCAGCTTGCTCACCCAGGATGTCCCCAGGCCTGTGCCCACCTAGGTGTGGGTATGCCCAGTACCCACTGAGGGGCCTGTGGATAAGGACAGAGAACTGGGCAGGGCAGAGTGGGGAGAGGCCCAGAGGAGGCTGACCTGTGAAGCTGCCGCTGCCGTCTCAGCTACTGTCTCAGCTGCTGTCTCGGCTGCTGTCTCGGCTGCTGTCTTGTTGCTTCTGCAGGAAGAAGGGGAAGTTGGGAGGCGTCTGTGGGTGGCCTCTCCCTTCGCCCCACACCTGCACCCCCACTGCACTTCTCTCTGCTCCCTCCACCCCAGGCCCAGGCATCACACTCTCACTTCACTTCTCCTTTCACTAACAGCATCCTCTTTGCTTCCTCCAAGCCGGTGGTCATGCCCTGGTCACCCTTTGATGGTATCACCCCGTAGAGCCTGCAGCACTTCCTGGGGTGGTGGCTTCTCTGTGGAGGTGCTCGAGGACATGGCAAAATGGCCCTACGCAGTGCTCAAGACCCACCTGAGCTCCGCATCCTTAGGCAAGAGATGTCGCCCCTCTGGGGCTCAAGTTTTCCCACCTATAGAAAAGGGAAAATGATCCCTGCCTGATTTGACAATCGATGGCATATCGGTGATGGCAAGGACCTCAGGCAGGAGCTGGGTCAGACTGCCTGGGTTCAAGTACCAAGCCCACCACTTGCTGGGTGGGTGACTTGGGGCAAGCCACTCACGCTCTCTGAACCTGTTTCCCCTCTGTAAAATGGAGATAATGACAGTAGCACCTTGCAGGGTAGTGTGGGGCTTACAAAAGGTAAGGTTGGCAAAGTCACTGGAAGCACTCTATGAAGCCATCATATTTCACAGATGAAGGATCTGAAGCCCAGAAAGGACCAGGGCCTGGCCCAAAGTTACCAAGTGGCAGAGCCTGGTGGAGAGGGGCCTCCCTGGCCACAGAGCCCAGAAAACGTGGGGCTGGAAAGCTGGCCAGCTTCTCCCTGAGCCAGGGGTCTGGATAGGCCCGAACTGCATCAGCCATACCCTCTGAAGAGCTCTAAGGGAAAGCCAAGAGGTGTGTGGGGGTAGAGAGAGACAGTGTGTGTGTTGGTAATGGGGAGATGGTGCTCTCTCTTGCCTGGGCCCCATCCAGACTCCTGGGAAAACTGTGACTCAGGAATGTGCTCTTCCAGCCCTGGCGGAAAGATGGAGAGGCAGCAAAAGAAACCAGACAGGTCCTAACACGGTCTCCCTCCTCTCTGCCTCACTGGGACCCTTCCCGCATCAGCCCAAGCACACCTCACAGGTAGTACAAGTGCCTCTGCGGAAGCAGGAGGGAGCTGCTCCTTGGAGGGCAGGCAGGTCCCCACCACAGCTGCACGGTGAAGGCTTTGCAGGGACACCAGTGCACCTGTGTCCTGACTCCTGGGCTACACTCCCTCTGGGTGACTTGGACAAGCCTTGGACCTTCTTGGCACTTCTGTTTTCTTTGATCATGATCCAGACCTTGACCTCCAGGCCCTTCCTTTCTGAGGTCACCCAGCTACCGCTAGGATTGCCATGCCAACCTCCTCCTTCCTCATGCTGAATGTGAGCCCAGCTGGCTGTTCTCAGGGCTCAGGAGGAGGCCCTGCCTACCCCACAGCCCCTCTATTTTCCAGCCTGGGTCTGTACCAGCCTCACTGTGCTGTGCTTCAGTTGGGGATTAAGTTAGTGCCTGTTACTTAGCCCTGCACTCCTGATCCTGAAACTCACTACCAAGATACTCTCCTGCTCAAAAGCCAGTGGTGAGGCTAGGTGCGGTGACTCAGGCCTGTAATCCCTTTGGGTAAGCACTTTGGGAGGCAGAGGCAGGTGGATCACTTAAGGCTAGGAGTTTGAGACCAGCCTGGGCAACATGGCGAAACCCCGTCTCTACTAAAAATACAAAAATTAGCCAGGCGTGGTGGCACACACTTGTAATCCTAGGTACTCGGGAGACTGAGGCACAAGAATCGCTTAAACCCAGAAGGTGGAGGTTGCAGTGAGCCGAGATCACACCACTGCATTCCAGCTTGGGCAACAGAGCGAGACTCCGTCTCAAAAACAAAACAAACCAACCAACCAACCAACCAACCAGTGGTGGCTTCCTTCACAGTCTAACCCCATCCAACTTCCACCGCCACCCAGTCTGAGTGTGCTTGCCATATTAATACCCACCTCCCTGCTCGGTCCCAGCTGTGGTCCCACACATGTACCTGGGAAGCCCTCCAGCTCCTCTCCACCCATCAGGGCTCCACTGGATCCTGCCTCCTCCAGGAAGGCTTCTCTGCCTCCCGCCCCTCTGCAAAACACTCTGGATGCTTGAGTGGTAGGAAGCCTGCCAGTCTTCTCTCAGGCCCCCAGGCAGGGAGGAGGCCACATACCATCCCAGTAAAGTGTCTCCTCATATGGGGGCTACTAATCCTGGTGAGCTGCAAGAAGACTGTAGTGGGACCCCAACAGGACTTTAGATAAACTGAGTTACACTGCAAAAAATGTCATTTACACGTCTTTCTCAATCTTGGTTGTGTCCAGCAGAAGCCTCAGCTTAAGGCTAAACTGTTTCTTTTGTTTTTTGTTTGTGTGTTTGTTTGTTTGAGACAGAGTCTCACTCTATCAACAGGCTGGAGTGCAGTGGTTCAATCTCGGCTCTCTGCAACCTCTGCTCCCGGGTTCAAGCAATTCTCCTGCCTCAGCCTCCCAAGTAGCTGGGACTGCAGACGCACGCCACCACACCCAGCTAATTTTTGTATTTTTAGTAGAGACGGGGTTTCACCATGTTGGCCAGGATGGTCTCGATCTCTTGACAAGTCAAATGATCTGCTCACCTTTGTCTCCCAAAGTGCTGGGATTATAGGCGTAAGCCACCGCGCTCAGCCAAGGGCTAAACTGTTTTAACCCCTCTCTCACAAAGGACTAGGTCCCTTATTTTTCCCCATTTTTCAATCTTTTATTAGACATCAAAACAGGATGTCTGACTTCTAAATGCTTTATTGTGGTAAGAAATATATATATATATACACACACACATACATATATGTAACAAAAGTTACCATTTTAAGCATTTTTAAGTGTAGATTCAGGCCAGGTGGGGTGGCTCACGCCTATAATCCCAACACTTTGGACAAAGCCCTAGTGGTAGGACTACTTGAGCCCAGGAGTTCAAGACCAGCCTGGGAAACATAGCAGACCCTGACTCTACAAAAAAAAAAAAAACAGAAAAAAAAATTAGTTGGTCATGGTAACATGCCCCTCTAGATCCACCTACTCAGGAGGCTAAGGTGGGAGGATCGCTTGAGCCCAGGAAGTCGAGGCAGCAGAGAGTTGTGTTCGAACCACTGCACTCTAGCCTGGCGATAGAGTGGGACTCTGTCTCAAACAAACAAACACCCTGTCTCAAAAAAAAAAAAAAGTGTACAGTGCAATGGTATTATGTACCTTCACACTGTCATGCAAACATCACCACATCCCATGTCCAAAACATTTTTCATATTCTCAAACTGAAACTCCATACCCATGAAACAGAACTTCCTGTTTTCTACTCCCCCAAGCCCTTGCAGCCACAGTTCTATTTTCTGTCTCTTGAATTTGACCAATCTAAGTACCTCATCTTAGTAGAATCACACAGTCTTTGCCCTTGCGTGACTGGCTCATTTCACTTAGCATGATGTCTTCAAGGTTCCTCCGTGTTGTAGTGTGTCAGACTCTCATTCCTTTTAAAGGCTGAATCACATTCCACTATGTGTATAATACACATTACATTTTGTTCATTCATCTGTTGATGGACACTTGAGTTACTTCCACCTTTCAGCTATTGTGATTAATGCTGCAATGAACATGGGTGTAGAAATGATGCCCCTTCTTAACAAAGAGAACGTTTCTAGCTAGACTTTACTAATGTTGTTTTATTTGCATGCTATTTATTGTTGTGATTTTCTTCTACTTCTGGCAAATTATACAAATTTTCTATTTACCTGGCTATATGAAATAGCCTTTAAGATACACGTAGATCCTCCACAGTGGAATGATTTAAAGAAAAATGCTAAGTAAATAAGGGCACAAGCGTCATGTGTTAGTGGCAAAAAGTGATGGCAGTGATACAGGAAGAGAACTGCTGAAGTGTGAAAAATATCGATACACACCTCAAAAACCTGACTGTCCTGAGTTGAGAGGAGTGGGACAGACTGCCAGAGAGAAACCCTACCAAGACCACGGGGGAGGCTGATGCCAGATCAACCTTGCATTCAGAGAGGCACCTGGAGGTGTTGTTCTAGAAAGAGAACTACAGTAAAATTGAAACAGTCAGATCTAGGATCCAAAATCTCATAGGGTGACCCCGGGCCAGTTACTTGAGATGATCCTCTGGCCTCTGCCTCGCAAGTTAGCTGGGACTACAGGTGCGTACCACCACACCTGTCTAAACTTTTCATCTTTTTGTAGAGACAGGGTGTCCCTATGTTGCCCACGCTGGTCTTGAACTCCAGGCCTCAGGCGATCCTCCTGCTTCGGCTTCCCAAAGCACCGGGATTACAAGTGTGAGCCACCGTGCCCAGCCCAGTCACTTCTGATCTTCACTTTTCTCATTATGACACGGTGGTAATAACACCCAGCCCCAAGGTAACTAAGGTAACATCATGGGAGCTGCCAGAACCTGTGGCCAGCACCTACCTTGGTTCTACGATCGGGTGGGTCACATCACCCAACCCTAGCCCCTGCAAAAGACACCCTCAGGACAATATTTATTGCTTCTCTCTAAGGAGAGAAGGCCTGATAGTGAGGAGTTCAGGTGCACCATCAACTCAGTCTCCACCACCTTCCCCAGCCCCATTTCCACCTCCAAAAACTCTGGGCAAGACCTCTGGGCTCTTGACCCAAGGCTGTTACTGACTCTAGGACCCTGTGCAAGTCTGAGCCAAGAGCCTCTCTGAGCCTTCACTTCCCCAGCTGTAAAACGTGGATGCCCTTGTCCTCTGAGTACTCAAACCGCATACATCCCCTATCTGTCTCTGGCTGGTGAACAGACGCTGTCAGCATTCAGCCATGCAGAACAAATACAAAGCAAATGAATCGACAAGTGAAACTACCAGTCTTGCAAAGTGTGGGATTTCATGAAGTTGGTGGAAGCAATGCAGGAGAAATGGAACAGCCGCTGCCCACAGAGAAAGGGAACGTCTGCAAGGGAAGTGACCCAGACCCGAAAAAAATCACTGGACTACCAAAGGATTCAGAGTGATCCTAGAGTTTGAGGAAGCTTTCAAATATTTTTGCAAAAATGACTCTTACTGCAAAAACCAAATCAGAAGGGAAGGATGCTACATACTCAACCACTACAAGAAAAAATAAGACTTCCAGTGTTAACATTTGATTCATTCTTGGTTCATTCTAAGGCGTGCGTGGTTGCAATCATAATCTAAACTCTGTTAATCATGGGGTAAAACGAACTTATCTTTGTAATATTTAGCTTCTTTTTCTAGGTAAAATCCCAATCAGGCTGGGTTTTCTCCACTGTCTTGGTGAATTTTTGGTCTTCTTTTAAATAGATTCACCTCGGGGGCCTTGCAGGGTACAGGATGTGGTGGGGAGTCCTCCAGACGCCTGTCCCCGCTTTCCAGCCAAGATCACAAACACCCTACCCCCAAAACATACGGGCGCCCCCGAAGGTGCATTACCGTAATTCCCCAGGGCCTGCTAACCACCATCGCGATGCGGAGAAAAGCCTCTGCCCGCCGGGCCGAGTGCTCCCCGCGCCCCCCACTTCTTAAGCGCGAGGCTGCTTTCGTCAACCCTTTTGTTGTACAGAAGGAGAAACTGAGGCCCGATGGGTACAGACTTGTTGGCCCACGTCCACTCGGTGGCAGAGCTGGCCCAGGGAAGAATGCAAGTAACAACAGTGAAGACTTGCTAAGCTCGCTCCACGTGCCGAGCTGGGACCCGCGGTGCCCGTTTCTGCGGGGGGCGCCTCGTACCTACTTGGCGCTGAGGAAACCTGAACCAAGAAAGCCGAGCCCCCCCACTCTCGGCCCCTCATGGGGGTGGGGCCTCCATCGGGGTCCGGCCAGCTCTGCAGCAGAGCCCACCGCCCCGGCCCGCACCCCTCGCCCAGAAGTTAGGCTGGAGCCTCCACCACAGCAGCTCGGCGGGCCGGGGTCACAGCGGGGCCGCAGCCTGCGACCGCCTCGGGGGCCCCGCCGCTCCCCCTGCTTCCCCTCCCCCCAGGAGGGAGGAGGAGACTCCGCGGCCCTCCCTCGGCCCCTCCAGCGGCGGTCGCCGCTGCACTGTGTCCGCTCCACCCCGCCGCGGCGGCTCGGACGGCCGGAGCCCGCAGGTCTCGGCCCGCGGTGAGTGGGGGCGGCAGGCGAGGGGCGGCACGCCACAGCGGCCCGGGAACTTGCTCCAGGCCGCGCGCTTTCCGCGGGAAAAAAGGGGTTAAGTTGTGGGGCGTGCTGTAGGAGCAGACACAGTCGGGGCGCCCCCGGCAACCCCCGAACTCAGAGCAGAACTTTCTAGACCCCTCCCCGGACTCCCTCACCCGCTGGAACCCCAGGTCTCCAGTGGGGAGGGGCCGCGGGGAGATGGGGGAGGGGAGGCGCCTCCGGAATGCCGCGGCCCGGGCCGGACGGGAGGGGGCGGCGGGCGGGGACGGAATTTGGAACTCTCCCGGGGGACCCAACGTGGTCGCCATGGCGAATGCGGGATGGACGGGCGGTGCTGGCCAATCAGAACACGGCGCTCTGCCCAGAGCCGCGGCGGCTGCCAATGGGGGCCTTGCGGTGGAGTGGGCGGGACCGCGCCGCACGGGCCGGGAACCCCCTCCACCCTCCGCCCGCCGCTAGGGGGAGCCGGGCGGCTAGCAGGGCCGGCAGCCTAGGAGGGGGCGACTAAGTGAGGAGTAAGACGACCCAGGGCTGGGGCTTCAGTTTCTCTACCTTAGATGGGGGTGGTGTCTACCTCCCCACCCCCGCTCTGCCAGGGCTTTTGTGGGGGTTGGATTGATTTGGGTTAGCGAAGTCTGCCCACCTGTTAGAGCGTTCAGGAATCTTTTTAGTGCCTCTCCCCATCCTGTAGGTAGGGAAACTGAGGCCCAGAGAGGGCAGAGACTTGCAGATATCACACAGCATATCAGTGACGGAGCTGGGACTAGTGGGATGTCTGCTGTACAAGAGTGACAAGTTCACGGTGTTGCCGAGAGGGGTGGGGCTGGGGTCGGGGTCGGCTCCCATGAAGGTTCACGCTGCCATCCCAGCTGTGAGTATCCACTTCGCCTGGTGCCTGCTGACCCCATCGTGTAGGTGCTCTGTGTAGGTGGGCACTGTGCCCCTCATCGTGTAGGACCCACATCGTGTAGGTGGGCACTGTGCCCCTCAGGTGGTCAAGACCCAGGAGAGGAAGCATCCCATCTCCAGCTCCCTACCCTGGCCTTTCTGCTGGTCTATGGTGTGGACACAGACACGTAGCTGTACCTCTGTGCCTCAGTTGGTCCATCTGTAAAGAAAGGAGTTCAAATCAGTGATCCAGGCTGTCTCTGTAGCTCCTCAGTCTAAGATAGGGGTACCTGGGAACAGACCAGGGGTGCCTACCCCCGAGCTCAGGTCCAGCCTGGAGGCTT